AAAGAAGAAATCGACGACACCCCGCTCTTACACGCTCCCTGTTCCCAAGGAGAGGGGCGAGCAGCTCTTCCAAAGCATGTTTCGCGACGGGCAACGATTCCCCGATCATTTATCGGCTGCTCCCACCCCCCTTGCGTGCACATCGTTCATCCGCAGCACCTGGTCACAGTGCCAGCAGCCCTGCTTCTTCGTCTCGGACCAGTCTATCTCGCGGGTCGAAGCGAGAGCGCGGAAAACCTCAACGAAGCGGAGACGGCTGAGAGAGTAAGCGATGGCCTCTGGGCAGCGGACGAGGACGACCAATACCCCGAGTCTTCCGAGTCGAGGTCCAATTCGAAGCGGGCGGCGACTGGCAACGAGAAGTCGAGGACGAGGCGATAACGCCGCCGATGGTAGAGATGGTTGGTTTCGTACATGTGCACACATTTTCTCTTCGTTTGGGCTCTTCTTCTCCCTGTTCGGGTACTTGTAACCATCCGGAAAGCTTACGTACCTACATGATCTGTGCAGCAGCAATGTGCTGTATATGCACTGTTGACAGAAATCTTGATACTTTCTCATGGCAAATCCCACGAGCGACACTCACCCAGTCCGACTCGTCCAGGAGGTCCGAGTTGCCGCATCTGGTAAACGTTGGCGGTGAGAACGACGACGCGAATATTTCATCTGCATCTGCCATCCATAGGCTCGTGCGTTCTCAAGGAGACGGCGCAAGATCTGCAGTACGTGTGCGATCATCTTGCGATGCAGGCGAAAGTCAGAGAGATGGCAATCTGAAATGTATCGGATACTACGTAAATAATTATGCCTGCGTGGGACATTAAAGCTAGTACAGCAGAGAACCAATGATTTACCTCCTACATCTCTAGCTCGTCACCCCAGCCTGAGGCTTCGATCACACTACGGCACTTCAGAAATCCCTGCCTTAGCCACTGTCGAGGAAAATCCAAATGACCCGCGTTCTTCGGATACGGGTGACCATCTTCATCGAGGATGGCGACTTCATTGTCTGGATGGATGACCGCGAGGCTGGGGACTTCTTGGGCGCCCGCCGCGTTACTCGACTAGAGCATGTCCGGCTTTCGCAAGCGGTTGTTTGATAACATCCTGAAGCTCCTTGAACACGACGAGGACTTTGCAGCCCTTCACGTACGGCTCTTGAAGCTGAGGGCAGACGGGTTGGATATCGAGGACAGGATCTTCAAGTGCACCTGTGGGTCGAGCGAGTAGTGCACCTGTGGGTCGAGCGAGCAGTGCGCCCGACAAAATTCGAGTGTCAAAGAAGTATTTGTCACTCGCGATGTTGAGTCGCTGTAGGCCGGGTAGCCTCCGCAGTAGATCAACAAATATGCCTTCGAAGTGCACCAGGTAGTCGGTTGTGACTGGGGCGTCGATGGTAATCACAGTGAGGGAAGGGAAGCGCAGATCGGATTCGTCAGCACCGCGTCTTAGCACCTTCAGGTCTTCGGCGGCGAGTGACGTTGCATGAAATCGCTGCAAGTTGGGTGCCTGGATAAAGGTTACAACCTTCCGCATGTACCGTGCGTCGCCGAATCGCACGCACATGGACATGAGATGAAGCAAAGGGATCTGACGGTCGTACTTCTTGTCTGGTTCGGAATGATCGTCGGGGTTGCCATCGAATAGCCAAAGGTTCAGGCGCGACAGTTGAGGCATTGAATGAAGCGCCTCGAATATATCGTCCGGCATCATGTCTACATCCCAGAGATGCAGCGATCTCAAGCTCTGTAAAGGCACAAAGCCAACGAAGCCGGATCGAGTAAAGTCGGCCTGTGCGATGAAACAGCGTGTTAGCCGCGGGGCATCCCTGAAAAGGGAGGTGGTGGTGACGTCTGCAGTGCTCCAATCTGAACTGAGTCGAAGCTCTTGAAGGCAGTCGAAAGAGAGGGGTGGGTCGGGGTGATGGAGGGGTTGCTCAAGGTCAAAACAATCTTTCAACTTCAGGCGTTCGATTCTGCCGGCGTTCGCCCCCTGGAACGCCAAAGCAGCGTCGCAGACTTCCTCGTTCGGCATAGGCCTAATGTCACAAGCGAGCACGACGGAGAGCTGTGCGGAGCCAGATCTCTCAAGCTGCAGATCCAGTAACGACGCATTGTCGAAAATGTTGTGCTCAACATCGTGCAGATGTTCTATTCTTGACCAGAGCTGAGGTTATTAAAAGGGCGAGAGCGCGCCATCGTTTGCAAACAGAGGCAAGGATCCAATGGATTTGTCTGGCGATAGTGTGCTCAGCAGAACGCCTGCCATCAAGACGTAAGTTTACAAGCGGGCAAATATTGGTTGAAACACTGCTGAGGGCGTCCAAACTCACCATTCGCCAATTTCGGCCTGAGCTGCCATTGGTGCGCGGTGTTTTCCCAGCAGCTGGAATACGTGGAGTACGGTTTCGTTCGGCAGTCGATGTACCGGAGCAAAATAGTCCATTTGCTTCGCCAAACGCGCTTTCATGAGAGATTCAACAGCTTTCAAACGTTCTATAGCGGTCTCGACTTTCTCGATTGAGCCTCGTAGCGCATGTACGACGCGATTGGCACTGGCAATGTGTGCGGGGCGGAAGCTGCGCTCTTGGCTGTATAGCTCGTGGTCCTCTTCAAGCGGTTCTGAGAGACCACATAACTTGCAGACTTGTTTGGTTTACATGACAGCTCTCACTGCCGTAAGAAACAAGGGGGCGAGGCTCGTGCAGGATGGTCTTCGTAATGTGCTGAGTGAGGCCAGGAATTGGTAGCGGAGATGACCTCAAGGCGCGAGTGGGATGTATGCTTGTGATGAGCCGAGTCTGGAATATGCAGCTCAAGCTGGTGAATGTGGTCCTGTGTATTTGATTCTGGTGTGGAAAGGAAGCTGCAGGTTGAGGTGCACTAGGCAGCGACCAGTTGGAGTGTGGGTCGAAAGAGCAAATGGCCCACGTGACCGTGTGGTTGACAGTTCACTGGCACCGTTGTGCGTTGGTTGTGCCTCGATTCGGACAGGAAAACAAGGCCTTTCTTTGTACTGTTTGTTCTGCTAACCAGGTCGTTGCATAAGCCCGCGTCTAAGAGGTATGGAAATCCCTCTCTGTATGTAAGAATACCAACCGCTACTGTACGTAGATTTTAGTGCGAGGAGGTTGTCTGAACGGTGCGAGAAACCTCAACTGCCGCCATCCCACGAGTATAGTATCGCAAACACCTGTCCTCTTCTACCGTAAACTCTGTCGTGAACACTCCATAGAAATCTTGGAAAACGCGCAATGTGTGCATATAGCCCGGTTTCATGCCGGGTCTTCCGTTGAATGCGTGGTTTTCCTGTGGCAATGCCAACTCCTGCGCCAAGGATGGTTCAGGTAGATGGCTACGAGAGGCGAGCATGTTGAGAAGGATGCGTGGCTGAAAGTTCACGTCCCAGATGGTGAGAGATTCGAGGAGAGGACAAACGCTAGGGAGGCGCGTTGATTCGCATTCGAGACCCGGACGTTCTCGTGAGGAACACAAGGAGATCGTCTATTGGCGCTGCATCATGACCTGATTGGTCAAAACCTAGCTCGAGCTCCTGCAACATAGGAACTTCGATGAGAACCTGATGTATGCCCAAGTAAACTTTCATTTCGGGGGTTGCTGTATCGTTTTGGTGTGCTGTCGGCTGACCCCCGGTGATGTTTTCTTCATCTGAGTCCTCATAACGGACGACTATGCCATGCAGCTCGAGGCGCGTGAGAGTGAAGGGTTGAACCTTGTGTGGTTCACTGGTGCGCTGTAGTCGGAACCAATCAGAGAGGTACGACCAGTTTTCTTCTTCGCCACAGTCTCCGACACCAAAGTACGAAGCTGAGGGATGTCGAGATCTCGAACTAGGTCATATTGGAACCGTTGAAGTGCCGCCTGAATTCGAGGGTGTGGAGATGGGGAAGGTGTGCGAAGGGTGATGTCCAATCTTCGGGCCAACGAGGCCCACCTTCCTGGCCCAAATATGTACTTGATAGACATAATTCCAGCAATGTGATGTTGAGGCAAAGCAATAGGAACGACTTCACATCATGGGCTTCAGGCCCTAGCTTTAACGACTGAATGCGGGGAAGTTGTGTGGGTAGGCGGAGCGCCGAAAGTTGCGCCGGACTGCCGTCGATGCGGAGAGAGGAAAGGTTTGAAGCTTGCACGAGGAGGAGGATCGTGCCTTTTGCTCGATTTTGGCCCGCAGAGAGCTGGTCAACGGAGATGTTTAGGGACGTCAGGAGCGGGGCCCTTGCCTGTTCGTCAACCGCGAAGAGATTTCGGAGCATCTTCGCCGGTGTGTACGGCATTGTCACATTTCTCAGCGGTGAAATTCCAGTAGTAGTAGTTCGAGAGCCGGCACCGTCCGATTAAAATAGCGAAGCGTGAAATCCAAAGGGACGGTATTCGGGAGCCTGGCAAGGTGGCAATTGCAGTGTTACAGCTCTCGAAGAGCCCTGGCGGAGACTCTAATGTTCCAAACTTTGTAGATGGGTAGTCCATGATCAACGGGTCGTTTGGTCTTGCATCGAGAATGCCATCTGGAAACGTAAACTGTATATCGTTCCAGAGAGAAGGGGTGAAGAGGATTATTCGCCTCCAGCTGTTGCAAACATGAGTGTATTTGATGGGACCTCTGCGTATGAAGATGTATGCGGATTCCATGCGACCCGGGCGCTGGGTTTCCCGTAGAATGTTTCCGAGGACCTCGATGGGTAGGTGCGTCGCGATGCCATGAGGGTCGGTCATCTTTCGCTGGGCGCGTGCGGGCAGCTGCTCGAAGAACGGCGGGAAACTCAGGGCGCGATTGTTGCAAGAATCGCGTCTAAATTGGAGAGACCGGGGGGCCGATTCGAGGGTCGCACAGTAGGGTTCAGCTGACGAGCGATGTACAAGCAAGTGGAGATGAAGAGATGCGCGTCAAGTCTGGATCTATTGTGGTGGTGAAAGGTAAGGGTGTGGTCTTACGGTCAACCAGAATAGGTGGGCAAATGTGGCCTCCCTCATAACGCTCGCATAGCTCAGCGGTAGAGCATTGTACTTATGGGTTATCCTACTTGAGACGGTAAACGTGAAAACGTGTTACGGTATGCAAGGGTCGCCAGTTCGACCCTGGCTGTGAGCAACATCTTTTTGAATTCATTTCTTGTATCTTTTTAATCCTAGCCTGGCTGCCTGGATCCTGGACCCTGGTCCGTGAGGTGTTCGATTCGAATTGAAGACAGCCGTGCGAAACCTGGATGAGCTTTGGACGCGTTCGCGGCATGTTTAGGCATGTTTACGCGGTCGAGTGATCGCGACGGACGACCTTTGCTTAACAAGTTAACGTCATGGTGTATCCACTCTTCCTCCATCCACCACCATGGCAGAACTTCCCACCAACAAAGCCGCTTGCGACTTCAAAGAACAACACGCAGAATAATTTGACTACTGGAAAGGCGTTGTTCGGTCAGATGCAGACCGTGTAGTACGCGTCCTGAACGGGGGGCCTAACTCTGCGAAGGACGGAGAAGAAGACACAAGCCATGATGTCATGTATGTCCTGGTTCATCTCAGGACTCTCTCGCAGGATGCTAAGAGCGATACCTGGACAGCTCTGGTTAAAGCTGGGGTAATAACTGCGCTGTGAGTACGAGATCGGTACCTGTACATGGTACATGAGGAGGGCTGCTGAGTTGATTCCGGTTACAGGTGCAAATGCGCACTGCATCTCTCAGCTACAATTATGCATGATGGAGATGACGATCCGTCGAGTGAGGATAAGGAGGAGATAACCAAGGCCGTAAGTCACAGTAGCATGCGAATGGTCTTTCTCAGATAAGACGTAAAACTCCATTTAAGCTAGATGTCTGCCCCATACCACGTCCCCTTGGAGATCCTCTGCAATGCGTCCGTGAGCTGTGCTATTCCTCCAACGGCAACGGAGAAGAATATGGCTAACGAGCTAAGGCCGCTCTGGTCGCCCATCATGCAAAGGGTACGTGTCTGACGGTCTTCGGACGGATGGGCGCCCACGAGTTGCGTTTCTAGGTTTGGTCAGAGCCCTGGAATACGCTCGAGCCTAAACCAAGACATGCCCGCTTGATGGAACGCGTCGTTATTCCCCAATTATTCGTGAGGCTGACTCTGGTAGATCCCTCCTTCCTTGAGTGAGTCAGCCAATTCATTCACTCTCTCTTCCTAGTTCATGAACTGATCCATCCCAGTATCATCTTCAAGCCTTCAGACCTCACTCTGGCCGTCCTGTTGCGCTACTGGATGTACTCCGTCGAACGAGTCGACAACCGTCTAACCCTCGGAGTCCTCGCCCCTCTCCTCCGAAAAAACACCACACAAGTACTGGAAGCCATACCTCGACAAGCATCCGGCACCTCCCGTCCAAAACCTCCTTCCAAAGCTCTTCCTTGGGGCAAGCAAGACTGGCGGCACCGGCAAGAAGAAACGCACCGCCGCTCAGACCGCTAATGCCGTCGTCGCTGCTTTCGCCATTCACCTAGAGAGCTTCCCGGTCGAGGATTTGAAGGGAGAATACGATTTCTTCCACTTGCTCTTCGACCATTCGAAGAAGTCTAAAAGCGTGTTCAACCGTGCGGTGCACAAATCCGACCGATTCTGGGCTGCGAATGCCGATGTGCTGCGACGCTCGGCGAAGTATTCGGGGCCTGATAAGCTGGATAAATATATGGGGGCGCTGACGACGCTCTCATCTGTGATGACTGACGTGGAAAATGCTCCAGCGGATCCAGAAGGCAAGGAGAGCAGTGTCGACGCGTTGATGCAGAGCTGGTTCTCGGCTGGCGTACTCGGTGCGTTCGAAGCGACTGTCGATACCTGGTTGCGTGTGCCTGGAAGGGCCAGTCAGTCTCTCTGCGCTTTATCCAAGTCTGATGATACTGACGCTCAGCCCCAAACGCAATAGTGATATCCACCATGATGATCACCACCATCGACCAAACCATCCCCCTCCTCAGCCCCCCGCACGATTAAGCTCCTCCGACTCGAGCTCCCCCGCCCCAAGCTCGTCAAGGCCCTCCTCGTCGCATTCCAGAATCCCCAGGGCCAGGGCCGCCAGCTGAAGAAAGACCACCAAGAGTTCATGACTCAGGGCGCAGGCGCGAACGTCGAGAACGCGATGTGGGTGCCTGGGGGGTGGCAGATGATGGCGCTACTTGAGGCGAAGGTGAAGGAGCCGAGGGACTGTGCGAGGCGGGGTTGCGAGAAGAAGAGGAGTGCAAAGATGGATTCAGAGGAGGAGAAGAAGAAGTTCATGTGTGAGATGTGCGATGTGACAGGGTATTGCTCGGAGGATTGTTTGACTGGGTATGTCAAGAGTACCCTTTGCTGTGATGCTGTTCAAACTGATAAATCGGGATTCAGGAATATAATCGAGCATAAGCAGATTTGCGGATGGGTACATATGATTGAGGATGTGATGAAGAATGTTGCTTTGCGGCCTACTTGAGCTCGGAACTCGCTCCTTGCACCATTTTCAAAACTGACAGGGGAAGTAGGTTCCACAAGGAGGGTGGTGTACGATAGAGCACGTAGAGACAGCTATGTATGTGTCAGAAGAGCTCTTTGTATCCCATGAGCATCCTGCAGCCGCAAGACCTGAACCAAGTTGGATCAGTACTTACCGCGAACGCGATTTGACAAGACCAAGCGCGAGAACACCACGCATGATCGGATCACAGTGCTAGAGTACCGCCGATCAAATGCATGTTCGGTCGGACCGATTCACCAAAATTTAAGGCTTCCTCGCTCTTGACTCGATCGTCCATCCTCAACCATGTCGAAAACAATCAACGATCTCGCAGCTGGAACAGCAGGAGGTATTGCCCAGGTGCGCTCGCTCACACCGTCCCTATCTGTACCCATCCTCACACAAACGCTAGGTGCTCGTCGGGCAACCATTCGATATGGTCAAAGTCGTATGTCCTGCTCTCGCCGATACTGCTTACCGTTGGCGAAGCGAATGATTCTCATACACAAGGTTTCCCAAGCGCATGCAAACGTCCGTCAAGGGGCAGTATAAGGGCATGGTAGACTGCGCTACAGGTATCCTGAAGAACGAGGGCCCGCTCGCCTTCTATAAGGTGTGTCTAACGGAGCTCCGCCGCTCGGAACACGCATGCATGATGTTGAACTCTCTTATCGGATGCGTAGGGCACCCTCACACCCCTGCTCGGTATCGGAGCATGCGTTTCGATTCAGTTCGCCGCGCTGGAGTACACGAAGCGGCTGTTCGCGCAGCAGAACGCTGCCCTGGGGCTTGGTGGACCCGGCGGACTGCAGCTTGGGACTGGACAGATATTTACGGCTGGTGTCGCTGCTGGTCTAGCGAACAGTGTCGTCTCTGGCCCTGTCGAGCATATCCGTATCCGTGAGCTACATCATCATGAATTTCCAGCGATAGTCCTCCTTTAACAGACGGGTTTGTTGTCCGCAGGTCTACAAATTCAGTCTAACACGAACCGGATATACAACGGCCCCCTCGACGCTATCAAGAAGATCTACTCCGGGTACGGTATCGCTGGGATTTTCAAGGGTCAGGGCGTCACTCTCCTCCGTGAATCGACAGGCTACGGCGTGTACTTCCTCGCGTACGAGAAGCTCGTGCAGCGGGAGATGAGCAGCAAGAACATCCGTAGGGATGAGATTCACCCCGTTAACGCGGTCTTGTACGGTGCTGGTGCGGGATACGCGGTACGTCCCACTTCTCTCACCATGCATGGCCTTCCTGTTGTTAAACCCGTCGCGACGTTCAGCTCTGGGCGGTGATATACCCGATAGACATGATCAAGTCCCGCATGCAAACCGACGGCTTCAGCCCCTCCACAGGCCAAAAATACAAATCTGCGCTCCACTGCGTGCGAACGGTCTGGCGGACAGAAGGGATCAGCGCGTTCACGCGTGGGCTGGGTCCTACGTTGATTCGGTGCGTCGGCTTTCTTTCTCTTTCACGACGGGGACTGACGCTTTCGTTTCCTTTAGTTCACCGTTCGCCAACGGCGCGACGTTCCTTGGGTTCGAGATGGCCAGCCGGATGTTGAATGCATGATCCTTCCTCAGCTAAACGATGCATAGTTCTCTCTCCATGTTCCTTCCTCACAACAGGATCCGCCGGCTGCCTCTCTCCGTCCCCAGGCCTCGACCCAGATACGCCTACAGATACATAGAAGTACTGGCCCATTTACCCTGATTCTCATAGATTTATCTAATCGTCTGGTGGTAATTATCTTGTATTATTGTAGCACCTATCAATCAGCTAGCTGGTGGGCTGAGGACGAGGTAGAGTCGAATGGAATGAATCGGAAGCATCAAGCAATGGGTCCAGGCGTACGTGGCTCCGACATTCCAAGGCTCCCCAAAGGCGCAAGCAGAGGTTCGTCACTTCCGTTACTACGGAATCGAAAAGTGGCAGGTCCCACTGATCATCGGTCTCCTTCCCACACTCCTGCACCTTTCCCTATTCCTGTTCTTCGCTGGTCTCGTCGTGTTCCTCTTCACGCTCAATTACACGATCGCCAGCGTTGTCGCCGCCATTGCCTCTATCGTCTACCTCGCGTATGTGGACAGCATCCTCCTGCCCATTTGGTATGCGGAATGCCCGTACAAGACGCCCCTTTCCAGCTATCTGCACTCTGTTGTACGCTATTGCAAAGTCGCGGACTGCTTTTTTATGGACGGTGACCCAGAAGATTTGGCCCCGCGCCTCTTCACCATGTCTCTTTTATTCCTTTATATTCCATTTGGCATGATGCTCCAACTACCCTGGTACATCTTCGCCTGTCCTGCCGACTCCTGAAAGCTCGAGAAGTTTGTCGACTTCCTCTACCACCCCTTTACCCTGCTTCTAGCTGATCACGACGATCTGGATGGTACCCTCGAATATCCCTGGAAAGATGTGGAGCCCTGGGTAATTGCATCGCAGGCAAAGAGAGTACACACACGTATGTTTGCGTGGTTGCTCCAGACATCGTCCAACCCATCGGCCCGATCAGTTGCTATTGCACGGCTTAGCTCGTCTACCGGAGGTCCAAAACTTATGCAGCTTGTTTACCCGTCCATCACTTCGGAAGTCGAGTTGTGCAGAGCGATAGTGAACTCTATCTCGGCCCAAGT